CCGCCGCTCCAGTGGGCGGGCGCGGAGGGTCAAGCCCAGCCCATACCTCCGCCGCCGCAGAGCGCCGGGGGGAGCAGATGGAGTCCTCGGTGTCTCCCGCCCTCACCCACCTGCCGGGTCTTCTTGCTCCCTCGCAGGCTTCCAACCCTTCGGTCCCCTAGCAGCACAATTCAAGGTGAAAACTTTGCTCAGCTCTGCTGGACCACCTGCCCGGGTCAGGGAGGCGAGGGTCCGGGCAGAGGGGAGGCTCTCAGAGTCCTTAGCGCCAGGTGAGTTAAGCGGACCAACGGTAATAATTACTGACAGTTCCTGAACGCTTACTAGGTTGCCGGACACAGCACCACGCACTTTCCATATCCACACTTTAAATCTTCCCACCGTCAGAGGATGGGAAGATCCAGACAGGAGAGCTGAAACCATTTGTCCAGAGCCAGTGAGCGAGGCAGGCAGAAGTGTAAATCCCGGGTATCTGCCTCCTCCATAATGCCCTCTTACTAAGCCCTGCTGATGGGCGGTTAACTCGACTGATAAAAATCTCCAGATTTGCCAATGACTGCCGTTTGTGGTGTTATCCTCTTTTATTTTCTCTATAGCACTTATGCTCTGAAATTACCTTGCTTATTTACTTATCTCCTGTATCTCGCTAACCCCTATCCCATTAAAATAGAAGCTGATTGAGGGCAGGGAGGCTATGTTCCTTATTTCACTCAACACAAACTTATTGGGGGAGAAAACAATGTCTGGTGCTGGGGAAACAACCTTGAGTCAGACCTTACCATACAAATAGATCGTTTGTACCTGTATCTGACACACAGTAGGACCTGTTGTCTAACAAATTATTGCTAAGGACAATGTCAGGCTACCGAAAGAAATATTCCAAGATTGTGAAGGCCTTCTCTCTTTCCTTGTATCCGTCCAAGAAAAGCACAAAACTGCAAGTAATTCACAAGATTTACAAGTGGAAAACATATCCAACACCAATGAATATGAAGGTGTTTGACCCTTTGCTGTGTGCTGTGTTGGGTTTTTATAAGCTGGGTCTAAGTTTGGGTTTCTAAGGACAATCACAGTTAAGATTGTACACAAGAACCAACTAGTAAATAAAGCAATTAAGACCCCTTTCCACAAATACAGTAGGTGGCATTTTGGTAAACTAGCACAATAAAAAATAAGGCCATTGGGTAGAAAAAAATTGAGAGGAAGGCCTGAACATCTGGAACAATAAAAGGTTCTTAATGCATAGTTGATGACTGAAGGAAAAATCAGCATGTGTGATGTCATCAGAATGTTTCATGAAGAAGGTGACACACAAAGAATGGGAAAGCTTTAGATGGCAAGTGGAGAGGAGAGGGTGGAAGAGCACAACAGGGGTGAGCAGTTTTATTTTTGGTAGTAAAGATAAGGTTGACTAGAAGAGATGTAGTTGGCCTTGAGTATCCAGGACACCCTCCCAACCCCCAATATCCCATGGATACTAAAATCTGTGAATGTGAATGTGGTGTAGAATTTGCACATAAACTACATGTATTCTCTCATGATTTAAACATCTCTACATTACTTCCAATACCTAAGAGTGTAAATGCTATGTAAATAGTTGTTAAACTAACGATTAGGAAATAATGGCAAGGGGGAAAAAGCCTGTACATATTCAGTACAGACACGATTTTTTTAATATTTATTTTTTAGCTGTAGTTGGACACAATACTTTTGTTTATTTAGTTTTATATGATGCTGAGGATTGAATGCAGGGCCTGTCACGTGCTAGGCAAGCACTCTACCACTGAGCCACAGCCACAGTCCTACAGAAATGATTTTTAAACAATTGTTTTTCAGTTAGCTGCTGGTTGAAACCTTGGATACAGAGCCCTCAAGATTCAGAGGGCTGACTGTATTTACTTGAATGCTAGGCGAGGAGTTTGTACTTGATTCACAAGACCATAGGAATAGCTTTTAATAGTGGAATAGTAGAGTTCCAGAAAAAAATTAATCTGGCAGTTCAGTTGAGGATGACAGATAAGAGAAACCATAGTAATTCAAACAGTAGGTATATAGTATTTCTTCATTTAGCTTAGTAGCTTTTATTAATAGTTTCATTTTTATAAAATCTAAAAAGTCTTTTCTAGCATGTGGGCTTGGGAGTAGATTTCAATTGGGAATGTTCATTTTGTGGTTCCCTTTTCAGGCACCTATCTCTTAGCTATACTGGTATAATTGTAGTAGACTTTTTGAGGAATGTAGTAAAGCACAGATCATAGCTGAGACTACTGTGTGGCCATATGTTAGCTAAATCAAAAGGAAAGCAGTTTGCATCTCTCTCAGCTGGGGAGTTCTGTATTTGAATTATTATTTTGTAGGAAGACCGCCCGGTAGCACCCAGTCTGTTCCCACATTACTTGCCAGTTTTCAGGTGTCTGGGAACTCTGCTTTCATTGCACCCTGCCCCATCGTCCACGCTTCAAGCTAGCCTTTGCAACTTGTCACAGATTCATGCCTATAGTTTAAATGTGGTTTTCCCTGACTAAATCCCATGTAGCACTTGAATGGTGAATGACTTATTAGAATGAGTCATTTTTAAAAAGCTTTTTATCTCAATGGCTATGTACTTAATAGATTTTTGTTTTCTTTCTTTTTTGCTATACTTTGGCAGTTTGAAGATAACCTACAAAAGCTATCTCTATGTTTAGTGATTCTTACTGACTGAATGTTTGTGTTTCCTCAAAGTTCACATGTTGAAGTCCTAATCTGGAGTGGGGCTGCTTTTGGAGTTAGGAGGCCATCTAATTACATCTAAGGAAGTAATTGGGTTAATTGAGGTCATAAGTGTAGGGCTGCTCTGATAGAATTAGCATCTTTATAAAAAGAGAATCCAGAGTGCTTGTTCTGTGAATGTGCAGGCACAAAGAAAGGCCATGTAAGGACATAGGGACAAGGTAGCCAACCATCTGCAAGCCAGAAAGAGAACCCCCATCAGAAACTGAATTGCCTGGTGCCTTGATCTGGAATTTCCAGCCTCCAGAACTGTGAGAAAATATAATCCATCATTTAAGTCTATAGTATTTTGTGTGTCAGCCCAAGGTGATAATAGGGGTATAACTAAGGAAGACAAAGGAATTTACTATCAGCCAAAATTTGATATACAGAAAACTATTTTTACTAAATCACAACATGGGTTTCAAACTGCTTTACTGATATTGTACAATTTATGGCTATAGTAATGGTGAAATTTAGTGAAAGCCAAAGATCCAATATGGTCTTGGTGTATAAAGATTTCATTGTTTATTATACAACCGTAGAGTTTTTATTTAAGCAAAGGAAAGAGGAAGATTATAAAAAGGCACTGTATTGGTCTGCTTGGGCAGCCATGACAGAATACCATGTCATGGGTGGCTTAAATAAAAGATTGTTGTTTTCTCAGAGTTATGGAGGCTGGAAGGCTGAGATCAATATGCCTGCAGACTTCATTTCTTTTTTTCTTATTAAATTATTTATTCTGATTTGTTATACATGATGGCAGAATGGAATTCATTTCATATTACACATATAGAGCACAATTTTCAAGTCACAAATTGTTCACAAAATATTTTCACACCATTCGTGTCTTCATACATATACTTAGGGTAGTGATGTCTAACTCATCTACCATCTTTCCTACCCCCTTGCCTGTTACCCCCTTTCCTCTCCCCTTTGCCCTATCTAAAGTTTCTCCACTCCTCCCATGTTCCCCCACATTGCCATTATGAGTCAGCATCCTTATATCAAAGAAAATATTGGGCCTTTTGTTTTTGGGGATTGGCTAACTTAGCAGTACATTCTCAACTGCATCCAATTACCTGCAAATGCCATGATTTTATTTTCTTTTAATGCTGAGTAATGTTCCATTGTATGTATGTATGTGTGAGTGTGTATATATATATATATATACATACACATCAAAGTTTTCCTATTCATTCATCTACTGAAGGGCATCTGGGTTGGTTTCACAATTTAGCTATTGTGAATTGTGCTGCTATAAACATTGATATGGCTGTGTCCCTGTAGTATGCTGTTTTTTAAGTCCTTTGGGTATAAACCAAGGAGTGGGATAGCTGGGTCAAATTGTTCCATTCTAAGTTTTCCAGGAAATATCCATACTGCTTTCCATGCAGGCTTCATTTCTGTTGAGGGCTTTTTCCTGGCTTGCTGATTACCACTACTGCATTGTCTTCATTTGGATTTTACTTTGTATGTGTACTCTTGTGTCTCTTTTGCTTATTTTAAGGACATCATTCCTATTGGTTTAGGTCTCCACTGCCATGATCTCATTCAACCTTAATGTCATCTCCTTAGAGGCCTTATCATCAAATACAGTCATATAGGAGGTTAGTGCTTCAACATACAAATTTTGGGGAGTGCATGATTGAGACCATAAAATACACAAAACAAAATTGTCTTTCTCTGTTAATGATATTGAAGAAGAGCTCCTGCTAGGGAATCAAGAAGAGTTATTTTAGTAATGCTGTCAAATAAACTAAAATTTTTACTAAAATTTTTCAATCTTATCAGGCATATGTCAAATGGTCAGGTAAATTTTCATCAGTTATTTTCATTTCATTGTGAAAAACTAAGGCCCTAATTATGTTTCTTATAATGAAATTGGTAAAAGTTTGGCTTTTTCTTAAAAGCCAAAATCTCATTTTGAAAGGACATCTGTTTACTTCATGCTTAGATCTATTTAGTTGAAATAAATACTGATTTATTAGTGTAACATGAAACTGTAGTCTTAAAGTATATAAATTTTAATGTAGATGTCTGGGAATGATAGTAGATGACAATAGAAATTTTTTATAAGTTCAACTTAATGGCTTGATGAACTGTAAGTATTAGTTGATATACATATGCTATTTAATATTGGTTTGATTAGAAGGCATATATTCTACATATTGTTATTCAATTCTTATAATTTATTTGTAAGGAATGTATATCTAAATTATAATATTAGGAACGAAGCTCAAACTTGTGCTATGAAATACATAATTTAAGATTTATAAAGAAACTCATTTCTAGATATGTGATCTACAAAGGGATCTTTAAAAAATTTTACAAGATTTTAAAAAATTAATAAATATTAGAAATGTAAATTACTAAATATATATTTAGAAATGTGTCTAAAAGAAGCATGTATGCATGTATCAAGAAATGAAGCATTGGGCCTGGGGATATAGCTCAGGGGTACAGAGCTTGGCTAGTTCTGTATTCTAGAATAAGAACTGTGAGAAAAAAAGAAAAATTAAAACAGAAATGAAGTACCATCCATACTCTGAAATATTCCTTGTGCCTCTCCCTGATGATAATCTCCCAGTTCCCTAGAGTTCATCACTATTCTGAATTTAATAATTTCTTACCTTTTCTTTATGATTTGATACCTGTAAATGCATCTTTAAACAATATATTTTTTTTGTATTTTTGAACTTATTTAAGTAGAATAATTGCTGTATGTATGCTTCAGTCTTGTTCAACTGGCTTAACGTTGAGATAAATCTGTTTTGTATACAGTTGTAGTTCTTTAAATGTCATGGCTGAATAATGTTTCATTGTATAAAAATCCATGTAAACAGACATTTAAGCAGTTTATATCTTTTGGCCCTTATGAATGTTGCTATGAACTTTTTAATTTTTTGGTTTCAGGGATGAGCCTGGGGTACTTAACCACTGAGTCACATCCCCAGCCATTTTCATTTTTTATTTTAAGATATTATCTTGCTAAGTTGCAGAAGCTCAATTGAAATTGTGATCCTCCTGCCTTAGAAAAAATTTCCTTTATGTATTTGTGCTTTTTGTGATCTGAATAAGAAGTCCAACCTCTCTTCAGGATTGCAAAGTTATTTACTTATATTAAGTACTAAAAGCTTATAAATTTGCATTTCACATCTAGTTTCAATCTATCTGGAATTGATTTTTCTGTGTTAGGGCACATCTAATTTTAGTTCTCTTATTAATGTTCTCAACCTTATTTATTGTTAAAGAGTTGTGCTTTTTATTCTTTTCTAAGGTGTTACACCTGTATGTAAGTCTGTGTCTGAACTGTCTAATACATTCTGTTGGCCTATTTGTCCATTCATCAGTACCACACTCTATTTTTTTTTAAAGAGAGAGTGAGAGAGGAGAGAGAGAGAGAGAGAATTTTTTTTAATATTTATTTTTCAGTTCTCGGCGGACACAACATCTTTGTTGGTATGTGGTGCTGAGGATCGAACCCGGGTCGCACGCATACCAGGCGAGCGCGCTACCGCTTGAGCCACATCCCCAGCCCCTACCACACTCTATTGTAAGTTCATATGAAGTTTTAATATCTGGTAGGACTAGTTCTTGTTCTTTTTCAAGATTATTTAGGCTACTCTTGGCTCTTTGTATTTCCATATATACTTTACAAGTAGGTTATTAAGTTCAGAATTAACAACAGTAACAAAGTCAGTGGGATATTAGTGGAGTTGGGAAGGATTTAACATCTTTTATAATTTTGAGTATTCCTATCCATGAACCTGGTACAGATGTGCATTTGTTGAGAATTTCTTTAGTGTTTTTCACAGAAGTTTGATAATTTACTTCATAGAAGTGTGTTTATATCTTACATCATTGACTTTTTTTTGATATTATCTGTTTTAAAATCTCATTTTGTTACTGAGTATGCTGGTATATAAAAATAGATTTGATAGAAATAAACTCTCAAAACTTTTTTCCAGAGTGGCTTTACCATTTTGTATTCCCACTAATAATGTATGAGAATTCCTGTTGTTCCTCATCCTTGTTGGCACTTGAATTCTTATTCTCTGTATTAGCCATTATGATAGATGTGTGTAGTGGCATCCTTTCATGACTTTAATGTGCATTTTCTTCATGGGCATTTTTATGTGTTTATTTTCTATCCATGTATCATTTTGGGTGAAGTGTCATTAAATTCTGACCCACTCTTAAATTGGGTTGTTTTTGTATTGTTGAGTTTTAAAACTTATTTATACATTCTGGATATAAGTTTGTTGTTGGATATGTGATTTGCAAATATTTTCTTTGCCCATTTAGTTTGAATATTCATTCTCTTGAAAGTATATTTGGCAAAGCAAATATCTTTAATTTAGATGAGATCAAATTTATTTTTTCTTTTGTGGATCATGCTTTTAGTATCATTTCTAAGAACTCTGCTTAACCCCAGGTCATGAAGATATTCTTCTATGTTTCCCTCTAAAAGTTTTGTAGCTTTACATTTTATGTAAGGTTTACAAGCTGTTTCAAGTTAATACAAGGTATGAATTCAATTTTCTTTCTTCACTTTGCATATAGATATCAATTGTTCTGACAGCATTTCTTGAAAATGCCTTCCATTGAATCATTTTTATACCTTTGTCAAATATTGTTAGTTATCTTTGTGTGGGTCTATTCTGGACTCTATTTTATTCCATTGATCTATGTGTCTAGCTTGATGAGTATAGTTTTATAATTAACAAGAAGTCTGGTAGTTAGATTCCTTCAACTTCATCTTCTTTTTCCAAATTGTGTTAAGATATTCTAGCTCCTTTTGTCTTTCATATAAATTGTACAGTATTCTTGTTTTTTTGTCTACAAAAAATACTGCTGGGATTTTGATAGGGATGGGGTGAAATCTATAAATCAACTCAGCAAGTGTTTACATCTTTATTATGTTGGATTTTCCCATTTCTGAATAGTATCTTTCCATTTAAGTCTTCCTTGATTCTTCCATTATTATCTTGTAGTTTGTAGTTAAACAAATGGATCCCTTGCATGCTTTGTTATATTTCTACCTAAGATACTCATTGTTTGGATCTTATTTTGAATGACATTTTTAATATATTCAATTACTTGCTTTTAGATAATTTGTGTGTGTGTGTGTGTGTGTGTGTGTGTGCGCGAGCATTGACCTTTGTATCCTGCAACCTTGGTGAACTCATTTACTAGTTCATTTGTTTGTTTGTATTTTTGGTACTGGGATTGAACCCAGGAGCACTCAACCACTAAGCCACATCCCTACCCCTTTTTTACATTTTATTTAGAGGTAGGATCTCACTGAGTTGCTTAGGGCCTTGCTAAGTTGCTGAGGCTGGCTTTGAACTTGATCCTCCTGCCTCAGCTTCCCAAGCTGCTGGGATTACAGGCATACAAAACTGTGCCTGGCTCATTTGTATTTGTATGTATGTGTGGGCTCTCTCTCGTCCAGGGAGGAGATCCACAAAACAGGATAGAGGAGAGTGTGGTTGAGGAGTCACGAATCAAGACCGCCGGATACCAAGCTGGAAGCCGATCTGATTTTATTGCGTAGTTACCATGAATATATATATACTCAGGAAATAGCTAAGTAGATTATAGGCAGCCATGGATACAATTATTTGCCAACTGTCTTTGTAGCAACCAATCAAGGAGTGGGCCATGGAGCAAGCGCTGACTGCAATACCAGAGCTCTGTCTTTGGGGCGGTTTGCAGCTCAAGTGCCTAGCAGGAGGAGAGTAGTTTTGCCACTCAGGCACTCTTAAGATAGGCCACATAGGCAGTACTCCGCGCACCTGTCCCCACATGTGTATGTAGATTTCTTGAGATTTTTCTGTATACCATCATCTCATCTGCTAATAGGAACATTTTGATTCTTCCATTCCAATCTGTTTGTCTTTTATTTTCCTTTCTTGGCTTTTTAATTCTGGTTAAGATTTCCAGTAGTATTTTAGAAAGTATTAGTGACAGGGGACATCCTTTCCCTTGGTCTTTTTATGTAGAAACCATCATTTTGAACTCTAACCTCTCCTTTAAGGTAGGTATCACACTTAACTATCCTAGTTTACAGATGAAGAAACCCAAATTTGAAGAGCTAAAGTAATTGATTCAAAGTCATAAAATAGGGCAGTTGGGCTCTGAATTCAGTTTTGTCTAACATCAAAGTCTTGTTTTCTTTGCACTACAGTATTCAAAATTAATATAAACATCTTTATTACTGATTCTCAGTGTTGTGGCAATTTTTTACTTGCTCTCTTAATAAATAATATTAAAGGTTGTGTTTGGAGACACAGAAATAGTATTATCATCATAGACTATATTTTTGTCATTAACATTTTGTCTGTCATGCTATTCTTTGTAGACCCTGATTCCAAATAGTTTTAAGACTCATGCTTTATTAGTTGATAGATACGAAGTTTATTTTCCTTGGAAATGTAAAACAGTGTATGGTTATAGCATTATGGGTTTATAGTGAATATAAGTATTGTCAGGAGAATCCTGCCTTGTCCCTGACTCACAAAGTGGTAATGGGAAAGTCACCTTATCTTGGTCTCATGGTCCAGACAAGTGATTTATGTTCACTTAACCCTTGAGGACTCTTCATGTTCCAAAATAATTATTTCAAAACTCATCACAACACTTTGCTTCAATGAGGAATATTTATTAAGAAGACACATTCACATGCTCAGATACAAAGTAAACTAATTTAATACATGCCACTCTCAGTGAATGATAAAGAAAAAAAATAACATGAAGAACGAAATTGTTTTCAGAGAGATTTTATATTTTGGAGCCATTACATGTCCATGTGCACATTAGAAAATTATTATCCTTAATACATGAACTTTTTTCTCAATCTAAATTTAAGTCTTTTAAATTTAATTTTGACAAAAGGAAATTCACAGTGTAAAATTTGCATTCAAGTCTGAATGTAAATTATCAACTGTTGCAAGCCTTGAGAATAGAAATTTGATTGAAAATTTGTATTCCTAGATGCTGTCTATAGCAGGTTCCTTTGAAGAAATAAAATGTTCTTCATTGTCACATGATGATTAGTTTTTCAAATAAAAAATTTTAGGACATTTATTCTTGGGTAATACTATAATTTTTAGTTAATATGATCAAGAAAATTTCATGTAAGATATGAACCACCAAGAATTTTAGTTTTCCAAAGAATGTGATTTCTTCATGCTTAAAGTAAAATTCTATCAATTGTATATTTTTATAATTATTTGTAGAAGTCTAATAAAATCACCTAAAATAGTAACAATGACAGCTACTATTTATTGAGCACTTTACTCTGTGCTAGGCACTGAGCTTAAACACTTTATGTACATTATCCCACTTACTCTTTTCAATAACTTAAGCGAGTAAGTATATTAGTCCCAATGTATAAACAAACCTAGGCTTACAGAGTTTAAGCAATAGCCAAATTCAAACAATCACTTTGTAAGCTGTGGAACCAGGAATTTAAGGCAAGTCTTACTGTGATTCCAAAGCAAGAGTACTCAAATATATTGTATGCCATCATTGAGCCCCCTGAACTGCTGTGTTGAAGGTGAATGTTTAATAACTTTAATCTGTGATACATTTGCAAAAGTAGAGTTTGCACCATTAGAATAAGAAACAAGATCAATTCAAGGGGAACAAAGAAAAATCCTGCTTATTTAAATATTTTTATTTACACATATTTTTTCTATGATTACCCCAATAAGATTATAAATACATAAACACCAAAGTACATGCAACACATTCCACAAAAGAACAAAAATGCACAGTAGTGTACTGAGTAAATAAATTACTGTTTACAAAGTGCTTAAAAAAAAAGACTTTGTGAGACATTCAGACTGTATTTATTTTAATATCTTCCAATAATTACCAAGAGATGCATCATTTATAAATAATATTCAAAATCCCCTATTTTCTTCTATAGGCCAGGATTTAGTATTTCAGCTAATCAAATGAATAATCATTCTATTGTGTAATATTAAAGCCAAGTCACATAGCATCAAAATGAAACCGATGGGCCTCTTGTCGTTTTTCTCTATCATCTGCTTTCTGAAAAAAGAATTTTAAATTAGTTTATAAATGATAAGAAAACGTTAAGAAGACTCATTTCTGAAATAGAAGTGATTAATTTCTTAAAAAGCCCTCCCTCAGCAATTAGTAGATAATGGTTGTGATTTTATAATACAATAATCTTATGAAATATTTTTGTAGTTTATAGTAGCTATTTTATAATTAACGATCTAATTAAATTTAAAAATCAACAAAAATGTTGCTTAGTTTGTTTGTTTGAAAATAAAAGTTAACACTTGATTCTATAAGGATAGAATCAACTATTCTATTTTTCTCCAATTCAACACTGATATTAATAAATGAACTAAACTAATTACATTAAAGTATATTAGTTTTTGTTTTTTTGTTTGACCTATGGATTTAGCAGATATTTATAGACCCTCTGCTCCCAGCAATGTATTATGCTCAGTATTTTGAAAAATTAAAAACCCCTCAATTTTGTATTTTGTTCTCCAGGAACTTAAAGCCTCAGGAAAAAGAAGCAAAACATATTGTACTTCAGGATACAAGGTGAACAATGTTACTTCTAAGAGAGAGATTACTTCTGGGTTTGAGTGATGAAAGGGAATGCTTTGAAAAGACAGCATTTTTGGAAATGAGGTTTAGGAAGGGGAGTACAGCATGAGTGATCATGAGAAGTCTAGAAGGAAAATGGAATGTATGAAAAGAATAAGGTTGGAAAAGGTATATTGGAAGTAATATGAAAGCCAGGTTAAGGAATTTACACATTTTAGGCAGTGGATAGTCCTCTGAGGTTTTTTGGCAAGATAGTGTTATAATTAAGGCTAAACTTAATGGAGAACAATCAGGTTGCAGTTTGATAAGTGGAAAAGGAAGAGAATGAAATTGGAGAGACCAGGTGGGATATAATAAGGGGCTGAAATGAAGAAGTGGTAGTAGGAATGCAGAGCAACAAAATTTTTTTTTTGGGGGGGGACCTATACTGAAGTGTTTCATCTCCAAGCTACACCCCCAACTCTTTTTATTTCCTTCTTTTGGAGACAGGGTCTTGCTTTGCTGCACGGGCTGGTCATCCTGGAGATCCTCCTGCCTCAGTCTTCTAAGTCACTGGGGGATTATAGGCATGTGCCACTGTGCCTGGCCTGATGAGATTCTTAGTGGAGGCAGAATCAATAGGGCAATAGATTAAATCTTGTAAGTAAAAAAAAGAGAAGATACGAAGCTTTAGAATACCGATTTTGAGGTGCTTGTAAGATGGGAAGAGACCTTTAGAGAGAGGTGAGGGTTGGGAATATTTCGAGTTAATAACTGAAGCTATTATTAGATGAAATTGGCAGGGGAAGTGTAGAAAGAGGGCTTAGGGCAGATACTGTGGAAAGCCTGCCTTGAGGGAAAGGGAGAAGGCAGCAGCCAGCCTAGGTGAAAAGTTGGTCAAAGAAGCAGAACTACAGTGCCACCAATGATACTGTGTATCTATTTTTTGCCACAACATTATAATTGCTGTAAGCCCACAATCAGATGTCCTGAAAAATTGATGAAATTAATTTCCTTTCTTTCATAGGTTAAGAGCTGTCTTAAAATTTTAGACTATGTTCTGATAATTCTGGTCAAAGTACACAGGATGATCATTGGTCTTACCTCAAGCTGTAGTCTTAAAGTTAACTAAATATGTAATTTTATGTTACTATTTTTGATATGTAAAGAGTGACTTTATTTTCAAATAATAAATCTATGAATATTGTTCTCTTTTTTATAAGTTAAAAGAGAAGCTAAGAAAAAAACAGTACTTTTAGTTAGCAAAAATGATTATGATTGACATGATAATCCAAAGAGAGTAGGTGTAACAACGAAGTGTTTCTCTTTTGTGACACAAAGAAGCCCTTTTATTGGGGGCATTATTGGGATGAAATTATTAGTTATGTATTTAGTACTTTTTTGTTTTTGTGGTGCTGGGGTTGAACTGATGGCCTCATACATGCTAGATATGCACTTTACTATTAAGCTACATTCTCAGCTCTTTAATGATAATTTTAAAGAGCAATTAATACATATAATAAATTAACCAAAGTTAATGTTTCATTTAAATAAACAAACCTTTTCTTGCCAATGTAAAATGCCAATTATAGCCAAGATGAAGACACAGACACCAATGAGAGCTATAGCGGTAAGTAGCACAATATTACTTGGTGTAAGATATAGTTTGGCACTCCAGCTGTAAATAAAAACAGAAAAATTAAAATTACAAATGTTAACTTAAAGATAAGCTTAAACTGAGATCAAAAAGCAAAATAGCTTATTAAGTGATAAAATGAGCCATTCATTAAATCACTCACCCACCTATTCATTAACTATAAGTAAAACAAAAGCAATTAAATTTAGAGGAGTGCTAAGACTATGACTCCTGCAGAGTTCATACTTTTGTTAGAAGCTAGGTGGAATTTTTTTTTTTGTCTGATGCTAGGGATTGAACCCAGGGCCTCATGCATGCTAGGCAAGTACTTTACCATTGAGCTACACCCCCAGCTACCTGAAGTAGAAATTTTGATGAGATATTTTGATATTTTTCTTTTTCGAAGTTTGACCCTCTAAAAATTGTTATTAATTTTTGTGGTATCAGGGATTGAACCTAGGAGTGCTCTACCACTGAGCTACACCCCCAGCTGTTTTTATTTATTTAATTTACTTTATAGAGATAGTCATGCAAAGTTAAGAAGGCTGGCCTTGAACTTGTGGTTCTCCTGCCTCATCCTTTGGAGTATTTGGGATTATAGGCATATGCTACTGTGCCCAGCTAAGAACTATTTTCAAGGGTACTTTGGATGAGCAAAGACATCGTTTTCACATTTTGACTGACCTGCTAAATTTGAAACCTGAACTCTTAAAGATATGTGGTCATGACTTCAATAAAGTTTCTGTATCATTTTTTTTTGACTCTTGACTACACATGCAGTATGACCAACTGAAACAACTGTATACATAGACATGTGCAGGACTCGCCCCATTTCTGTGTCTTGGTTAGAGGGTTTACATTACTATAATGATTTTTATATTGAGAACAATGATAAAATCACCTTCATTCCTTCAATGTTAATGTCAACAAACAGGTTAAAGGTCATCAACATAAACAGAACTAGTTCTTCTTGCCTGAAACAGTATATACAACACAACTTATAAACCCCCCAAAGCTTAAAGCCAAGATCTTTATTACCAACACTGCAGGGGGTTATATACATAGAGCATTTATTTTCATTTTAAAAGTTTAATAAAGGTAAGATCATTCTGAAGAATAGCAAATAGCTTTTGAAATATTTTGGGATAATTAAAATTTATTGATCCAGTAGTTAGATTCTAGTCAATAAATATTAAAATATACCTCAAACTAAAATCAATTAGATTTTTATTATGTACATAAATTTGAAAAGAACATTTCTTCAGAAAGAGCAAGATAAATTAGTTGAGGAACTCTGTAGCTTGCTCATATTTTAAAAAACAGTTCTTTCATGAGATATTTTGCTTTTTAAATATATATTTTTTAAAAGTCAGTAACAGACACAAGGTAAATCCTCAAGGCAGTTGCTTGTACCTATCTTGCATACATGAACATATATACATAGATACCTTTTAGATCCCAGTGGTTGTTGATTATACATACTTTTTTGCATTCTTTTTTTTCCTTACCATTCCATGGCAGTAAAAATGAGTCATGATATTATACTACATAGAAATACCTATATATAGTTTCCTGCTTATTATCTATTTTCTAATTTTTTTTATAAATTTCATGTATAGAAAACTAATATAAATATACAATATAGGCTCATTTAGAAAATATGAACCAGGCCTAGGTATGTATGGTAGTGCATGTCTGTAGTCTCAATTAAATGGGAGGGTAACTTGAATCCTTGAGTTCAAGACCAGCCTAGGCAACTCTGACTCAAAACAAAACAAAATGGAACCAAGTTTCCAGTGAAACAGTTTCTATTGATGTTGAAGCATAATGCTGTAATAAAGTTTGTTTTCTCCAACATTTTGGTTCTAAAGGCCATATATCTGGCATAAAATTATGTATAAATGTGCTGGTAAACTTGTTCTCTGCAGGGTAGGGGGAAATAGAACTGATTTATGGCATTTGCCAGTTTTCAGAGAGTAAATTCTCCTACAATAACTGATTTTAATGTGACTTCACTGAATAGAAATGGAAAAAGATGCACACAGTTGTTGAGGTGTCATGAGCTGGTCTAGCACACCACAATAATACATCTCATCCAAAAACTTAATAAAGAAAAAGGCTGAGAGTGTAGCTTTGTGGTAGAATGTACACAAGGCCCTGGGTTCAGTCCCAGCCCAGAGGCTGGAGCAGGAGTTGGGGGAAGACAAAAATGCCTATATTTTGAGAATAAATATAATAAGCAGGATCTCACTGATAGAACAGAATCAATGTAATTAAAAAAATAACAGATAAATTAAGGATTTAAAGTTAAATGCTCAAGAAAGGAATGCATGCTGATAATAAGAATAAAAACATTTACCTACTATGTGCTTGGCACTGTGTTAACTATTTCGCATCCTTATCCTCTTAAGATAGGTGTTCTATCTCCCATTCTATAGACACAAAATTTGGGCCATAGAGAGCACAAAATATTAGCTCCCAATCTCACCGGACATCAGTGGAGCTGAGTTTTTCTAGTCTAGGTCTGTTTGGCTCTGGAATTTGTGTGCCCAATTTCTTGGGATGTATACTACTTTTCAAAGAATTTAGATCAGTACTTATTAAAAAATGAACCATCTTAAGGCTGAAGTCATATAACTCAGTGGTAGAGTGTTGCCTAACAGGTTTAGATCTGGTTCCTGACACTCAAAACAAAAACAAAGCCAAAACAATTTAACATCCTGAAACATTAGAATTTATGAGTAGTAAATCAAAGAGTAATTTATTTAAGCAGAATATATATATATATCCTTAACTAATTAACCTGCTATTTTTTCTAATAGGATTGGATTTGTTCTTCATGAAAAATGTCAGAGACCTTTTGTTGTAGGTATGTTCAGTCATTTAAAATTTGCTGTAAGCAAATTAAGTGATGAGCATTCTTAGGAACATAGCAGGAATGTGTGTGTCTCTGTGTGTGTTTATATGTGTACAGTGCTAGGGATCAAACTTAGGACCTTGAGAATAAGAAAATTTTAGGGGCTGGTTGTGGCTCAGTGGTAGAGCACTTGCCTAGCATGTGAGAGGCCCTGTGTTTGATCCTCAGCATCACATAAAAAATAAATAAAATAAAGGTATTGTGTCCAACTATAACCAAAAATTAAAATAACTAAAAAAGAATAAGAAAATTTTAAAGACATTACTATATCTATCATACAGAGTTGGCAGTATCTTTACTCAATTCAGTCAAACAGGAACATTACCTTCGAGGGACATTGTGAGGGTATGGAATGACAATTAGCTGGGAATTTGGAATGATTGCAGTCCACTCTTGTTTTCGTATAGACTGAAAAAAAGAATTTAAGAACATTTAACATCTAGGGTATAAAGAACACAATTATTTAATTCTAAGTAAACAAGGAAAAATTTCAAGTAATGTGAGATGATGAAATACCAGGTATGAATTAAAAATAAATTTACATATATAGGGCTTCTGTATCCTCTGTTTGAAAAATTTTCTTATGTTTTATATTATACATGTATCTTATGAATCTATTCACCCAACAAATATTTATTGGGCAAAAATATTTAGCAGGTGCTGTGTACAAATGCACATTGAGGGGAGACTGATAAAAAGAGTAAGATGTTATTTACTAACACAAGTAAAATATTACTATTACATATTGTATTTTTATGTATTATACTTATATATTATTGGGCTTATGTCAGTAAAATATTAAATGTTAGGTGGTGAAAACTGTTAAGAATAAGCAGGAAAGAATAAGAAGTCATAAAATTTACGGGGAGTGAGATGGAAAAACTACACAATATCTTCAGATCATGATGTACTACTTAGTAAGATAAGCTTAGATAGGTCACCATCAATCAGTTTTTCTTATTCTTTTAAGGGAATAACAATATTCAAATGATTTGTATCCAATTGGACTCAAATAAATTATTGAATTGAAATATTTAAACATTGAATATTTAAGGTCAGAATTGTAAACAACTAAATTTTTACTTACTGTCTCTCCAGAAGGACGGGGAATACCAACATAAAGATGGTCAAGAAAATTTGCACTTCGACCTAAACCAAGTACGTTGTATGGTAGTTGGAGAGCTAAATGTGCTGACTGGCTGAGTTGTCCAGCTAGATTTTTTTTAAAACAATGCAAAACAAAAAACATCTTTGGAAACATTATTCCCATCAAATGATAAAATGAGAAAAATGTAAACATTCAGGTAATAAAACTTATTCATAAGTATAAAAAATGTGAAATTAACATCCAGTTCATTGATATTAATGATTTACTTTTTACAGAAAACAGATGTGATTCTCAAAGCTGATTTACAAATTTGATTCACATACCATATATATCACCCATTTAAAGTATACATTTAAGTGGTTTTGAGTATATTCAAAGAGTTTAGCCATTACCACAATATAATTTTAGGACATTTCCAATACTTGAAAAAGAAACTCCATATCTACTTAGGGGTATTCTTGTTTCAACTCCCATACTTCCCACCGAAGGAAATCTATAATCTGTTTTCTCTCTCTACAGATTTACCTATTTTGAAGACTTCACATACATACAAACAAACTATATATAGTTTATTGTCACTGGCTTCTTTCATTTTCTTTCAATAATTAATTGCCAAATAATGTTGTATTATGTGATGTATACTATCATTTTATTTCATTTATTACTTAATGGATATTTGAGTGATTTCCCCTTTTTTGCTATCATGAAAAATACTGCTGTGGACATTAGTATACAATTTTGGGAATCTCCTTACATTTTCCTGTCTTCTAATTAACATCTAAGAGTGTTTTACATCTTTAGGAACTACAAACTATTTTCCAAAGTAGCTGTACTGAAGTTTGATAGGATAAATAACTTTTAATGTTCTGTAGTACAGCAGGATAATTATGGTTGACAACAATTGTATATTTCAAAATGGCAGAGAGGATTCTGAAGAATAATAATGTTCTGGGGTGATAGCTACGCCCATTACCCTCGTTTGATCATTACATGTTGTATATATGTACTGAAATGTCAAACTGTATTCCACAAACATATATAATTATTATGTCAATTAAAATATATATACATTTATAAAAAGTAGTTGTACCGTTACATATTCTTGCCAGCAATGTATGAAGGTTTCAATTTTTCTACATCCTTGATAACATTTTTTCTGTATTTTTTTGTTGACTATAACCATTTTCAAGGTTGTAAAGTGGCATCTCACTGGGGTTTTTATGTGCATTTTCCTAGTGACTAATGATATTATGCTTTTTTTCATGTGCTTATTTGTTATTTGTTTATCTTCATTTATATTTCTGTAAGGTTACTAGTGGCTTCCTTTTGCATTCTGGATTTTAGTTAATTAGAATCCTCTTTTTACTGAAAACTTAAGACCAATATCCCTGATGAAAACAGACACAAAAATCCTTTAAAAAATACTGGCAAATTGCATGCAAAAACATTCAAAAGATGATCAAGTGGTTCAACATATGGAAATCAATAAACAATTCATCACATTAATAGACTTAAAGACAGGAATCACATGATTATCTCAGATGCAGAAAAAGCATTTGACAAAATACAGCATCCATTCATGTTCAAACTAGAAAAACTAGGGATAATAGGAACGTACTTCAACATTGTAAAAGCTATATATGTTAAACCCAAGGCCAATATCAATCTAAATGGAGAAAAATTGAAAGCATTCCCTCAAAAAAATGGAATAAGACAAGGATGCCCTCTTTCACCACTTCTATTCAACATAGTCCTTGAAACTCTAGCCAGAGCAATTAGAAGAAAAAAACTAAAGGGATATGAATAGAAAAAGAAGAACTCAAACTATCCCTATTTGCCGAAGTCATGACTGTATATTTAGAAGACCCAAGCTACTCCACCAGAGCTCATACATGAATTCAGCAAAGTAACAAAATATAAAATTAACACCCATAAGTCAATTGTGTTCCTATACATTAGTAATTAATCAACAGAGAGAGAAATTAAGAAAACTATTCCATTCAGAGTAGTCTCAAAAAAAAAATTTGGGAATCAATCTAACAACTACAATGAAAACTACAGAACACTAAAGAAAGAAACCTTAGTAGAAGATGGAAAGATCTCTCATGTTCTTGGAGAGGCAGAATAAATATTGCCAAAATGGCTATACTACCAAAAGTGCTATACAGATTTAATGCAATTCTTATTAAAATTCCAATGATGTTCTTCATAGAAACAGAAAAAGGAGTCATGAAATTCACTTGGAAAAATGAGGCCCAGAATAGCCAAAGGAATTCTCAGTGAGAAAAGTGAAACAGAAGGCATCACAATATCAGACCTTAAATTATACTGCAGAGCTATAGTAACAAAACAGCATGATATTGTCACCAAAACAGACATGAAGACCAATGGTTGAAAACAGAAGACACACAGAAAAACCCACATAAATAGAGTTATCTCATAATAGACAAAGGTGCCATAAACATACATAGGAGAAAAGATAGCCTCTTCAACAAATTGTGCTGGGAAAACTGGAAATCTATATGTAGCAAAATGAAATTAAACCCTTCTCTCTTACCCTGCACAAAACTCAAAGTAGATCAAGGACCTAGGTATTTGACCAGAGACCCTGCTGCCTACTAGAAGAAAAAATAGGTCCAGATCTCCATCATGTCAGCTTAGGAACTAACTTCTTCAATAAGATTCCTAAAGTGCAAGAAGTAAAATCAAGAATCAATAAATGGGGGCTGGGATTTTTAGCTTAGTGGTAGAGTTCTTGCCTAATACATGTAAGGCAATAGATTCGATCCTCAATACCACATAAAAAAAATAAAGGTATTGTGTCCATCTACAACTAAAATAATAATAAAAAAGAATAAACAGGATGAGATTAAACTAAAATCCTTCTTCACAGCAAAGGAAACTCCTTAATCATGAACAAGAAGACAGCGCCTACAGAATGGTAGAAAATCTTTGCCATCTGTACCCCAGAATGTTAATCTCCAGGATTTATAAAGAACTCAAAAAACTTAACACCAAAAAATAACAAACCTAAATAACCCAATTAATAAATGTGTTAAGGAAATGAACAGGCATGTTGCAGAAAAAGAAATACAAATGGTCAATAAATATATGAAAAAAATGTTCAACATCTCTCAAAATTAGAGAAATGCAAATTAAAACCACAGATTTCCTCTTATTCCAGTCAGAGTGGCAATTATCAAGAATACAAGTAACTATAAATGTTGGCAAGGGTGTGGGAAAAAGGTATACTCATACATTGCTGGTGGGACTGCAAATTAGTGCAACTACTCTGGAAAGCCATATGGAGATTCTTCAGAAAACTTGGAATGGAACCGCCATTTGACCAAGTTATACCACTCCTCTACATATACCCAGAGTACTTAAAAATCATCATACTGTAGTGATCCAGGCACATCAGTGTTTATAGCAGCTCAATTCACAATATCTAAGCTATGGAACCAGCCTAGGTGCCCCTCAACACAAGAATGGATAAAGAAAATGTGGTATATATACACAATGAAATATAACTTAACCATAAAGAAGAATGAAATTATGGTATTTCCCAGTAAATGAATGGAACTAGAGACTATCATGCTAAGTGAAATAAGCCAGTCCCCCAAATCAAAGGCCAAATATTCTCTCTGATATATGGATGTGAACACACAATAAGAGGGGAGTGGAGGGAAGAACCAGAAGTTTCCTGGATTAGACAAAAGGGAATGAAGGGAACGGAGGGAGGAGATGGAAATAGGAAAAACAGTAGAATGAATCAGACATAACACTCCTATGTTCATACATGAACACCCGACCAGAGTAACTTCGACATCATGTATAACCATAAGAATGGGAAAGTATACACCATGCATATATAATATGTCAAAATACATTCTAATGTCATGTATAACTAAAAAAAAAAAAAAAAACCAAAAAGAGAATCTTTTTTTTCCTGATATTTCTACTTAAAGGTTGGTCAATTGTTAGTATTAAAAGAAATAGTGTTCAGTTTACTCTGTTTCTATTTTTTTCTTCATTATTTGCCATCTTCTGCTTGCTTTAACTGTTGGCTTTACTTTTTCTAGTTTCTGAAAGTGGAAGATTAGGCTTATGCTACTTATTGGGGATTGTTCTGATTTTCAACAAAGGTATTTACAGTGGTAAATTACCCTATATGAACTGTTTTCGCTTCATTCCATTGATTTTGGTATGGTGTGTGTGTGTGTGTGTGTATGTGTGTTTTATCTCAAAATGTTTTCTGATGCCTTATGATTTTTTCTTCGCCTCATTGTTTATTTTGGAGTGTATTGTTTGATTTCCACACATTTATGAATTTCCAGTGTTCTGTGATTTTTAATGTCATTCCATTATGGTCAGAGAATATACATGGTATGACTTCAATCCTTTTAAATTTATTTATTCAGGTTTGTTTTATGACATAGGATATGTATGGTCTATCCTAGAGACTGTTCAGTGTGATCCTGAAAAAAAGTGCATATTCTGCCATGTTGTTTAAAGTGTACTATACACATCTTAGGTTTAGATGGTTTGTAGTTTTCAGATTCTTTCTCATTGATCTTAGTAGTTTGATCAATTCTGAAAGTGAGGTATTAACGTTTTCATTATTTATACTTGAACTATCAATTTCTCTTTTTAATTCTTCTTGTATTTGGGGGCTCTGTTAGCTGCATGCATCTTTAGAGTTGTTATATCTATCTTAGGTCTCTGGTTAATAAAATATCTTTGTCTTTAGTAATAGTTTTTATCTTACTGTTTATCATATACTGAAGACAGTATATTTCCTTTACTTATTCTGCCAATCTATGTTTTCATAGAAGTATTTATTTAATTTACATTTACAATAATTAACTGACAAGGTAATATTTTTAGTTATTTATTTATTTTTATTTATCTATTTATTTATTTTTAGTTATCGGCAGACACAACATCTTTGTTGGTATGTGGTGCTGAGGATTGAACCCGGGCCGCACGAATGCCAGACGAGCGTGCTACCGCTTGAGCCACATCCCCAGCCCACAAGGCAATATTTTTATGTCTATAATTTGCTATTTGTTTTCTATGTCTGATGTTTATAAAATTCTTTTATTTCTCTGTTCCTGCTTTCTTTTGTTAAGTCTTTTCTATATACCATTTAAATTCCTTTGATATTTCTTTTACTATATATTTTTTTAGAGTTACTGTCTTAATGATTGCCCTGGGGATTTCAATTAACATCTTACCTTAAAAAAATCTAGTTCAGATTAATACCAATTTAATTCAAAGTGCATCTAAAAACTTTCCTCCAGTGTAGCTCCATTCCCTTCTTTTCTTCTGTGATGTTATTGTTAAATAAATAAAATTTTATACATTATTAGACATTAATACAATTTTTCTCTTTTAAGATAGTTTAGTATTATTTTCACTTGATATTATTTTGTGAATACTCACTAATTGTTGAAAATCTTTAAAAACAGATGAGTAGAGAGAAAGATTATTGAAATATCAAAATTCTATTGAGAGAAAACCAAAGGTAATGCAGTGTAAAACATACTATTATATATGTTAACAGCTAGTTTTCTAAAATATCTCTGTAGATATTATACAATTCTTTCTTCATAATATCCTCTTATCATTTAAAACTAACCCTCTAATGTTAGATATGAAGAAATTTTCCTCATCTATCAGTTCTTTAGAGAACATCTCTGTATTACCAGTAATTGTTTGTATCCAGATTATTTTCTTACATTCCTAGATAATGAACATTGAATTAAGGAGTAAAAAGTTTAAAACTTATTTTTAAATATGGAAAACTTGTTTTCTAAGAAGAGGTTGTGCCATTTTACACATTTCCATTAGTTTTCAACAAAAGCTCCCATTTCAATTTAATTTTTCTTTAATTAAGGTGAAATTCACATAACATACAATTAGCCATTTTAAAGAATAAAATTACAGCATCTTAAGTATTTTCAAAATGTTTTGCAGCCACCAATTCTCTGTTGTTTCTAGTTTTCATCCATCATTCCATAAACACACCTTGTACCCATCATCCATAATATTCAAGCTTTCAATCCCTATGGATTTGTCTATTCTAGATACATCATATAAAAAGAATCATAAAAATTGACCATTTGTGCCTGGCTTCTTTCACTTAGCATAATGTTCACAAGGGTCATATAAGTTGTAGCAAGTATCAATACTTCCTTCCTTTATATGGAATGATACTACATTTTATGAATACACTTTGTTTATCTATCCTACTAATGATGAAAATTGGAGTTGTTTTTGTTCTTTGGCTGTTATTGATGCTACAGTAAACACAGATGTACAATAATTTCTTTAAGACTCTGCTTTCAACTCTTTGGATTATATACTCAGAATTGTAACTGCTGATCATATAGTAACTCTAGGTTTAATTTTTTGAGGAATTGCCATATTGTTTTTCATAGCATTTGCACCATTTTACCTTCTCACCAACAATATAGGAGGGTTTCTATTCTTCACATGATTGCTTATACTTATTTTTTTGTCTTTTTAATTAAAGTTATCATTATGGTTGTAAAGTGTTAACTCATTTGTAGTTTTGATTTATATCTCACGATGAATGATGTAAGATAACTTTGAGATTTTGGGCTCTCTGGAGAAACATCTAGACCATTCTTAAACTGGGCTATATGCATTTTTGCTGTCTGCTGCAAAGGTTCATTATGTGTTATGGATACAACAGCAATATCAGTGGTGTGATTTTTAAATATTTTTTCCCCAACATTCCATGGGGCTATCTTTTCATTTTCTTGATTAATTTTTGCACAAAATTTTTAAATTTTTAGGAAATTCCATCTACTTTTAAAAAAAATTGTTACTTAATGCTTTTAGTGTCAAATTTAAGAATCCACTGCCGCCAAATCTGATGAAATGTAGATTTACTTCTGTTTTTTTCTAAGACTTGTAATAATTTTAGTTCTTACATTTATGTGACTGACCCATTCTGAGTTAATTTTTTTTTAAAAAAATGTGGAGTACAACTTCATTCTGTTGCATGTCTATATAAAGATATCCCAGCACACTGGTTTGTTGAAGAGGCTATTCTTTCCCCTTTGAATAGTCTTGCCATCTTTGTTAAAATTAATTGGCCATAGGTGTTTGAATTTATTTCTTGCCTCTAAATTCTACGTGATTTAGATGTCTGTCTTTATTCTAGTACTACAATGTTGATTTCCTATATGAGGTTTTGAGCTTGGGAAGTATAAGTCCCCTCCCCCCCCTTGCTAAAAGAATATGAGAGTCATATATGACCAAATTGACTTGAATCAGTTCTTAACATTTCTTCAAATTTGTAACTCCATTGTAGAATTCCAATCCCTGAATTCTAGGCTCATTTCCAATAGAAACTCAGCATCACTTTTTCTCTAAGAGATATTACAGTACATACAATGAATTCAAAACAGAATCCTTAATTTTACCCCCATTTCTGTTCCATCTCAGTTTTAGCAACACCATCTTTCCATTTGGTCAGGCCAGCGACCCTATAGTTATAGTACTCTCTTTTTCTCAAATTTTCCAAAGAATCAAATATATAATCAGAATAAAAACATATCCATAATCTAAGCACTTATTTCTGTTTCCACTGCTGTCCTCTTGGTCCAAACCATCATTATCTCTTGCCTGAATTACTTTAATGTACTTCTATTTGGCTTCCCTCCTCTGTTATTTCTTTTACAGTGCACTGTTTTACTCAGAATAAAAGCCTGTCCTGGGTCCTACCTAGTTTACACTTCTCACCCCACATTTAACTTGTGACTTCATCTTCTATAGTTTAACTCTTCTGTTTCAGAACTTCTAATATACTATTCTTTTTGCCATGGAGAGTCCAGGAATGCTTACAGCTAAGGATTTAATGCGCTGGCTGTCTCCTTTGTCTGGAATATTCTTCCAAAGATAATTACTTGTCTAACTCCTTCATCTCTTTCAAATCTTTGTTTAAATGACACTTTCTCAGAAAGGCCCAATATGAAATAACATTGATGTGAATGCCTTCCTGTGGCAATCACTATTCCTCTTACTCAGCTTTCCCTGTCTCCCCCTATCCCTTTGCTCCCCTGCCCCACACTACTTGTCACTTCCTCACAATTACATAATATTACATAATTTACTCATTGCTCGTATTCCCCTACAAGGATTTCATTTTCATGAGAGCTGAGATTTTAGTCTGCTCTATTCACCTCTATATTTTAAGAGAATAAAATAGGCCCAGCCCTGGCCCTGGCACATATTAGCTGCTCAATACATATTTGTTGAAAGAATGAGTATGTGAAAAAAATCGTAATCCTCCAAATGTGTCAGACCTGAGACTTGTAATATTTTCCAGTTGAAATATGGTACTAGACAACAGAAAAATACTGTATTAATTTGTACAGCATAAATACAAATATATAGTCTACCTAGAGGTAAAGCATCAATGACAAATAAGAATTTTGAATAATTTTTAATGAATACATAAAAAATATTTGCAGTATTAGACACCCCAACCACCAGATTCAAATGCTTGTGTCCTCCTGTCTGTGACTTCTGTCTGTGACATAGTCTGACTTTCCAGAATAGTTCAAGTATACATTATGCAATTAAAAAATAAATTTTTAAGATTTGATTCATTCTTATTTTCCTGGAGAACACTATACTGACATGCAATTTTGACTGGTTAATGTCATTCTAAAGCAGGTTATGTTTTAATTTATAATCTTGAATTAAAGAATCAGGCAATATAGGAGAAAAAGTACATTGTAATAATTTTATTACACTCTATTTTAAGCAAGCTATTGCACCCAAATTATGAATATTAGATAGGACACCCTATCACAACTTTAGCTCTGACATCTATTTGTCAAAAATAAAACTTAATAATACCAATATGCTGACCTAAGAGGTAGGAAAAACATACAGGGAAAATATATTAGCCAAAGAAAAAGTCATTATTTTATGTGAACAAACGTGTTCAAAAGAACATTGAATTCTTTTTCCTTGCAAGATTTTAAACCACAAGGAATTTTCATATTAACCGCATTATTTGTAACTCACTCTGGCACTGACCTAGCTTTTAAGCATCTCTATAAAAACGAAATGAAAGGACACATGCAAATAACCAATGTTTTGTTTAAATTTGGAAGAGAAAACTTTTGTATCTGTTAATCTCAAGTTGATACTCAAACAATACTATGTTGCCATTGATTAAAATGGAGACAACGAATACCAAAAGATGACAAAATATGAAAATTAAAAAATACATTCTGTAAGCAATAATAAAGGAATTAACAGGTATTAGCTTTAGGTGTGCCAAAAACTGTGGCACAGCTTCTTGTGTATTTAATGTTTCTTAACAATAATTGTGTCAAAGGCAATACTATTACTTCTTTATATTCAGGAAATTGAGAGTTAAGCAATTTGATTGAAAAAAATATATATAGCTACTAAATGGTAGAACTGAGATTTAATTTCAGCAGCGTAATTCCAAATCCCACACCCCTTATCATCACTGATGATCTTGTCTACAGTTGAAAAAGAAGTGTGATATTTGTCTACTGCACTATAAAAAGGACTTCTTATGATATAAAATAACTTTTTCCAATGTTAGCTCCTTTCTTTTACTATTTGTTTCTCTATAATATGCATGGGGTGCTATCCTGTTATTTGGGAATCTACAAAATTTTATACCCAGTTGAGGATTCTAGTTAGCATGACATTTGTTGATTTTTGTAATTCTAGGCTATCAGCTACACTTAATTTTTGTAGTGTTTGAGGTTGTTGAGCATGTCTTAGGCTTTGTGATATTCCCATTCTATACCCAAAGCCTGGGCTTATTTAGCCGTCCTTCTTTGGGATAAAGTGGTTAATCTTGTGGATCTTCATGGAAAGGCACCAGTTTAATCCAATTATATTCCTGTTGGAAAAGATGATGAAAAAG